TGGTCTTTGGTGGTGATGGCTCTGGTGAAGGCCCTTGAGCCACAGTAGATCTTTATTAAATAATAAATCTGATTTATACAGCATTTTAGTAGGATAGTAGCATTTTAAAGTGTCATCAATATAATAATCAGACCCTGCAATAGAATAAATCAAGTTTCACTTTAGTTTTTCAAGTGACTCAACTCTAACTCAACTCTAACTCACTCACTCAGCATCATCAAGGTTATCTTTTAGGAATATGAGCATGTCCACATTTCCAGGTAGAAGCTGGGATGTTTGGGCGTTTACAATATCCCCTGCTGTGGAAATAACTCTCTTGCTTGGTACTGATGTTGCTGGGACAGAGAGATATGCTTTGGCCATGGGTGACAGCAGTGGGTCAAACTGTGCATTGTCTCTCCACCACTTCAAAAACAATACAGTTTTTGCCAAGAAGGTGAGGCTTCTTGACAGGGCGAGATATAAATATACTGTTGGTACTTCTCAATGTCTCTAGGTATGTACATGTAGCCCTGTAAATACGATGTCCTTTTGTGTTATCTGTTGTTTTATGTTCATGTTGTAACCTACTTGTTGCCATGTTGGACAGGTCTCCATTGAAAAAGAGATCGATGATCTCAATGGGACCATCTGGTTAAATAAAGGTTTTATTTTTTTTTAGTTATAATTTTTTTTATTATTATTTTTATTTTTAAATTTAAAAAATCGCAGTATATTTTGTCAGTCTCACGACGGTATTGAGACATCTATTTACTGCGATATTCGATATATCGTTACATCCCTAATAATAATAATGGGATTTTGATTTACTTTCATATTTTATTCTTATTTTTGTTTCTAATTTGTTATTAGTTGCATTTCTGTATGTTTGTTGTCTTTGTGTTGATGTAACAAACACATTTCCCCTCTAGGAATATATATATTTTAACTAATTAAACTTTCACATCCTTTTTTACTTTCCCGCAGCAATCCTGTACCAGGAATACAGCGACGTGGCCATCAACAGAGAGATCCAGAGGCAGCAGGGGAAGGAGCCTGGCCCAGAGGAGGAGGGTCTCAGGGACGAGGGGTCAGACGGGATCCCCTCTCCGTCCAATCTGTCCCCGTCCAGCTCCTTCCGCTCCTCACAAGGCTCTGCCTTTGCACTTTGGCAGGACATCCCCGATGTTCGCTCCAGCGGCCAGCTCGACAACTTCAGTAACGAGGAGCGGAAATTACAGGAAGTAAGTTTGACTTCTGACCTCCTGCTTGTTTTATGTGCTTTAAACGACTGGTTAACAAACCCTGTATCACTACACTCAGGCCAAGTTTGAGCTGGTGACATCAGAGGCGTCGTATATTCGCAGCTTGACCATTGCAGTGGACCACTTCATGTTGTCGCAGGAGCTCGCAGAGTGTATCGGGACTCAGAACAAGCAGTGGCTCTTCTCGAAGCTGCCTGAAGTCAAAGGCGTCAGTGAGAGGTGAAGAAAAACGCCCCTTCAAATTCTCCATTAAACACCTCAGAGCGTGTCCTTTTTCTAAAGGGGTTTTCTGCTATTGCACAGGTTTCTTCAGGACCTGGAGCACAGGCTGGAGGAAGACATTCTGCGTTTCGATGTGTGCGACATCGTCCTGGATCACTGCCCGGCCCTGCGGAGGGTTTATTTACCTTATGTGACCAACCAGGCGTACCAGGAGCAGACGTACCAGCGTCTGCTGTGAGTTGCCGCTTTGCTTTCATCACATGTGTACCATATCAGCTGTTTGAGACCTTAACATATATATTAATGTATCCAGGGCTGTGCATAAAATCCAATTGTCTGGATGTCCATCATTTCCTCTCAGGGTGTTCGGATATTATTTCACACCTGCATGACTTAACTTGCAGATGTTTCTTCTCTAGGAGGCTGCACATTTTTTTCTCAGGGTGAAAAGCACGCTGGAATGTACCTTCACCTCTCGAGAAAAAAATCATTAAAGTGTCTCGTCTTGTCCTCTCAGGCACGAGAACCCTCGCTTCCCCGGGATCCTGGCTCGTCTGGAGGAGGACCCCGTCTGCCAGAGACTTCCTCTCACCTCTTTTCTGATCCTCCCGTTTCAGAGGATCACACGGCTGAAAATGCTGGTGGAGGTACACGCTTAGACATTTATGCAGGATTCATGTCCGCACTTGAAACCCAATTACGGAAGATATTTAGAGCAGGTTTTATCCAACAACAGAGTATTGTCTTTCTCTTTTGGTTCAAAAACATCTTTATTTTTCAGAACATCTTAAAGAGGACGACACCGGGCTCCCGAGATGAGGACACTGCCACGAAAGCTTTCAATGAGCTAAAAAAGGTGGTGATTATCATCTGTAATAGCCAGTTGGATGAGCACCAGTATTATCCACGGTGGTGAGGCCTTACAGTAATAACCATGTTGGTGTGCGTCTTCTTAGATCATCAAAGAATGTAACTCCAGCGTGCAGTCGATGAAGAGGATGGAGGAACTGATTCACCTCAATAAGAAAATCCACTTTGAGGGAAAGGTGACTTTTATGAATTGTCTTTCCTTTTTTTAACCTGCGTTTTTAACATTTAGGATCTTTTATATTCCGGAACTATTTTCTTTCCTTGGTAGATCTTCCCTCTGATCTCTCAGTCTCGCTGGCTGGTGAAACACGGAGAGCTGCTGGAGGTGGACACGCAGATGATGAGTATTTCTGGATCAAAGCTCAAGTTGCCCACCAAGCCGGTGTACCTCCACCTGTTCAATGACTGTCTGCTGCTGTCCAGGAGGAAGGAGTGAGTGATTGCAGTCCTTATAAGAGACGTAAACGTTAATATTGCACTGTTTAATGAGTCATAATAGGAAAAAAGCAGCATTTTAGAATATGGGTTGAATGAAAGTTATAGTGTAAGTCCATATATGCACATTTTAAAGAGAAATGAGTGTCCCAATCATTGCTGCCCTCTATAAAGACTGCACACCCCACATTAAGACTGCATTAGTGTTCAGCAAAAATAAATATAGTAATTTTTACTTTACTGGATTAATCTACATTTTCAGTTAATACTAGTAGTAGTTACTTTGGAAAAATATGTTTTTGCATGCAACCACACCAATATTTTATAAAATATGTTTTGTTCTCAAATAAAATACTCAACCAATTATTTTGTTTCATTATCTAGTTAATTAAAAAACACATTTTGGTGATGATTTGTTTACGAGATTACTATTAGACTGTTTTTATTACTTTATGTACGATTTTCTAGTTAAACTTACTAACTTGACCTTCGTTACATTTTTTAATGCAGGGCTTTTACATGTAACAAAATATTATAGAATACTTCCATACACTATCAATATGACTTAAGAAAATGCTTAAACAGCAAAACAATTCTACACATGGTGGCTTCAAAGATTCAGTTAATAATAAAAAAAATTAAAAGCACATTCTTAGTGATTTTGATAATAAAACTGTGTATTTCTTGCAGCACGTGGAAGTTCATGGTGTTTGTCTACGCTAAGATAGGAGAGCTGAAAGTGAAGGATCTCAGTCAGAAGCTGCAGGGCATCTCAGGCTTCATCTTCCACCTGCAGCTGTGTGAACGCCAGCAGCTCAAACACCAGATCCTGCTCAAGTCCAACACCGAGTGAGTCACAACGAAAACATTTAGCTTCAGTACCGACAGTATGCTTTAGCACAGGATGCCCTAACTTTCCTTATTTGTGTCTGCCAAGGAGCGGGAAGCAGAGATGGATCACAGCCATGTTTCCATTTGATCCGCTGGAAGACATCGGGCACGCCACTGAGAATGACGGTCAGTAAAAGCTACAGTATTTCAATCAAATTGTATTTACAGTATATAGCCCAATATGACACATATTCAACATTTGTCTCAAGAGGCTTTACAGTGTAAAGGAAAAACTCCCAAAGAAATCCCCAAAATAGGAAACATGGAATAACCCTCTGGGACCCTTCTGCTGTATAACAGAAAGTCTTTCTCTGGTATTATTTGGCTCATTAAAACTCAACTACAAGTCTCACTTGAGTAATCTTGTGATGGAGACGGGCGCATATTACACTTACACATGACACATCAACAACAAAATGGCAGCTCCAACGGAAATGCTACAGCTGAGCTAAATGGATTAGCTTCCTCAGGGGTGATCTCAAAAATTGGAAAAAACCTCTAGAAGAGCAACGAAGGAGGATGTTGTGCAAAATATGTTGTGTAGAGGTATACAAAGATAATACAATTACAACCTGGCCCTCCAAATGACAAAAAATGATTATATTAAAAAATAATTATTCACGAGGATGTCAAAGATCTTCCGGATGCCGCCAAAAAATGAATCATCTTAAACCTTTTTATCCTGCCGTTCATCATTTCTGTGTGTTTCCCTCTCAGATATAGCCCAGGTTCAGTGCATCAAAAGCTATCAGGCCCAGGAGCACGACGAGCTAACCCTGGAGAAGGCCGACATTCTTCACGCTAAGACCATTACAAGTGATGGTAAGGATTGGGATCAACTCCACTTTTGTGTGTGTTTCAGGGTTTCTCCAATGTCTTGAGTTATCTAATCTTTCTCCAGGCTGGGTGGAGGGCATCAGACTGTCTGACGGGGAGAGGGGCTGGTTCCCCAAAACCTACGTGGAGGAAATCACGAGTCGCAGCGCTCGCCTCCGCAACCTCCGGGAAAATATCCGCATTAAATGTGTCACGCAGAAACTGAAGGGGGGCGACTGACGCTTCTACTGCAGCTTGTCGAAGGTGCATTTCACTTGCTGAGTTGCACTTAAAGTTACACAAAACTCCAAATGCTTTCTCCTCAAGTCCTACACTTTGGGCTTGATGTATCCTTAGCTAAGGGACTTGCTTAAGAGTAGTGCACAGAATCTTAAAGGTTTTCTTAAGGCATTTTTTGCATGAAAAGTGATGTTACCATAATGAAAGACTTATAATTAGTGATATCTGCATCTTCTCACCAATTTGGCCTCTTGATTGTGTTTTTTACTGTTGCTCAAGAAAAAAAGAAGACGAGAACTCCAAATTAGTCAGAGAAGTAAAACATTATACTTATGGAGGAATACAAATAACTGAAAACAACAAATGTGGGAGGAAGTTGTGGATGGATGTGGGACCGAAAATATGTTGAGTACGCAGGTGCTTAAACCTCCAACACTTTTTACGTTGTGAGAACATTTTCACATGCTGGATGAAAGTGGAAATTAAAAAGCTTTTGATGCCCTTGTCCATTTTTAGATTAAAATGTTTTTATACAATGACTTTGTAGACAAACGTTTCCACCAGGACAGTTCTAACATTTCTGCCACTCAATCACTTTATGACTGTTTTCTATGAATGCATCCATCACCATTTCAAAAGCCTGAGAAACATGCACATTTACCGGCACAGGAAATACATGTTATCATTCTTTGGTTGATGTCAGAGTTAGTTTTTATCCTGTCATGTCTCATATGGACAGATTCCCTTTTAAGCAGTCCACGTATTCAACAAACATGTGCCCTAGTTACTGAAATAAATAAAAGCCTGGTGCAAAAGTTTATTAATTCCACGTGTTAAATGTTGGACTGTTAAAACATGTTTGCCCCTTATTAAGAGAACGACTCCCTCCCCTTAGGCACTATCAATGTCTGTCTAGTAACTGTTTTTTAAGACTGCATGAACTCTGATGGTTGTCTAATAAGGCAGCTGCAGAATGATGGTTTACTTTACATTTTTCTAATGATTTCACAATTCTTTGAAAAACAAATGAAGGACAGACTTTCCTCTAAACAAGCCTGCATCACACAACTTCTGTTGTTCCTAATCTGACTAAAGGATTACACTGTCTATATTCTGTATTTTTATTATTGTCAAGAAATCCCACGAACTGATCGAAAGAACAACAATGTACTTATCTTTCTGACAGGTATTATTAGTGTGGCTACTTCCTGATATCTTCCTGTGTGCCATAAAGCTCCATAGTTTTCCAAAAACTATTAGAAACACAAACTTGATCACACTAGTACAGTATGTGACATCATTACCATGAACACACACTGGAATGTACCCCAAATGTACCACTCTACTGATTCTAGATCACTGTATTCCTCCACCGCTAGAAATAGTCCATAACTAATGCACTACTTACTTTAGTTTCAGTAAAATGTGTTGAAAACTAGAGTGACCAGCTGTTTAAGTGAATAATTAAGCCTTTGTAATATTGAAATTATATATAGAGTGGTGCAAGAAAACGAGTTAGCATTTTAGCACTTTGGGGTTTCCTTATCTCTATTTTATTTTCAATAAAACTTTAGTAATTTAATTTAAAGTGGACCTATCATGCTATATTTGAATAATATAGTGTAGTACCATACCTCTATAAGGCATATTTATACTTTTTATTTTTCAAAATACCAAACAGATCATGCATTTTAGCTTTTCCTCATTTCGCTCAAATTAACACTGTCTTTTCATGGGCTGATTCTGTGAGAACAGCGCCATCTACACGCCTGGCATATGTACTACAGCGTCTCCAGCGCTTTCGAACGGCAATGTCCGTGGCTGTCTCCTCCTGATTGGTGGAGTTGGCCCAATAGCCGTAGCGCCACTTCTGTGACGTCATAGAAGTGTTCAACTCTGGATCAGTCTGTATCAGATCCGTTGCAGCCCCTTTTTAAGAGATTTGGGTATGGAGGAAAATAGAGAGGGTTGTGTTTTCTGACACTTGGTGAGTTCCCTGGATCACCGGGACACATATTCATGTATAAAAGACGTACTAAAGTTCATTTTGCATGATAGGTCACCTTTAATAAAACTCCTGTTGTTGTACGACATAAAATATATCAGTAAAAACCCATACCATGGATGTCTGATGTGGTGTCTTAAAAGCCGCGGCTGCTAACAAGTGGCTAAGTGAGACTGCTAAACCTCATCATGCTAAACATTAGCTGCCTTTAGCTTAGCCGTGGGAACATCAAGTCATGCATCCGTGATTTAGCTCGTTTATAGCATAACTTTAGCTATTTACTTCTGGAGATTGCATTTTACGCTACAATATATATTTTTTTAAAGTTAGTCGAGGAAGCCCTTGAGAAGCCCACTTGTGTTTCTGTCTCATTTTAAAGAATTCGCTCACCAGTAGGAACAGGTTTCGCTCGGAGCTGAAGGCCACAGACAGTTAACAGAGGCTTGGTGTTTTGTTTTATTTCATGGTATTTGTTGACAGTCAAAAAATACAACTAAATGTCTGGAAATTGAAACCTACTGATATCACCTCTTGACCTTGACGCATTAACATCCCCATTGTTGTGGTGAAAGTAAAACATTGTGCTTCTTGTTTACTACTTTTTAAGCTTTGGCCCCAGTTGAATAAAAGCTAGACTATGTTGTGTTATGCTAATCATACAGGGCCAAGTAATACTGTCATACACGAAGCACTGAATGACATTTCGGTCTAAATCGGTCCCCTTATATGTGTACAAATGACCAAAAGCGCAGTGTAACTGAGCTGTGACCTGCTGTTAATGAACCACTATAATCAACTCTTCCAGTGGCACATTACATGTTTATAACCCCTTTTTATTTCTATATATGCGTTGTTAGTTGTAATTTAAGTGGTTGCTGTTGCAGCATGTGTATTTATACTCCTCTAGCTGGTTGTTCTCTAAGGAGATTCTGATGTAAATGTACTTTACTGTAGATGGCTTCATGTGTAAAGAGTAGAAAATGGTTCAGTTACTATTTTGACTGTAATTTATATGAACAAAAATGTAATACATTTTACAATTACATTCCACTACTATAATCTTTTTTTTATAATTTTCATTTCTAATACCACATTATAAATACTGTAATACACTGGATGTTTACTGGATCCCTGCACACTACTGTAAATGTTTAACCATGGAAATAAATACAGATTCTTTCATTTTATGTGTTGAATAAATGACTTTCAAAACTTAAATCAAAGAATTTATTGTCAAAAATTCAACCCTTGTGCATTTGATTTTAATTACATCCAAGCTTAATAATGTATGTACAATTTCCTCAGTAACTTTTACAATCTCTACACTAACATGTCTACCGCTGTTAAACTGGGTCATGACCTTCCTGTTTGTCCCCACATCAAAGCGAACACTGTCAAACGGTGATCATATTTCAGAGCCTCCTCCTCTGTTGTCTCCATTTCGTATCAACATTACTCAAACAAGTGATATGTACACACTATCTACACATTATTTCAGATTTTCCACCTTCAGGTAACTCAGCTGCGTCCGTTGATGTGACGTTGGTCTGCCGTTATCATCTGTTCCTGGGACTCCTTCCTGCTCCTCTGCAGCTTGGGCATGATGGGAGGAGGAGCGTGACTCACTGCAACGTGGCTGTTTCTGTCTGCCTGCAGGTCAAACAGAAAATCTTGTTGAGCTTTTTTGGGATTTAAGGTATTCAACATCCCTTTGGCACACATGAATATGTCATGCAAAACCCAACCTCAATAAATCCATTACTGACTCATACGGTGTCAAATTAAGAAATGATGCCTCACGTTGGAATGACCCGATTGACATTACACTCTTTACAGTCATTGGATTAAACCATGATTTTGATCCCAAACAAGTTCCTACAAGTTCATTTTCCTACTAAACTAATCCAAACCAGTGGCTGCCCAACAATAGGAATGAAATGTAAATCTGCAAGATGCAATAGAAATGTGTAGCAGCAGATGAAAAGGTGCGTAGTAAATGGGTTAAAATGGGAGGTCTCAAATCTTAAATTCAGAAGGCCAATTTGTACGTAGACATTGAAACCATTGCATATCCAGCTGTGGATTTTTTGGTGCTTATGTGCACATTTTTTAATACAGATGTGCAAGTTTTCGGTTGGCATGTGTGCATTTTCAAAGCATGTGCAGTTGTTAAAGATGTACATATTTGTGCAAGTTTTGTGTGCACATGTTCCCATTTGTACAGTGTGAAAGGGTAAACATAAGGATTTTGTGGCCACTTCGAGGCAATAGCAACAAAATATACACACTATTTATATACTAGAGGTTTAATGGACTGCATTTATAATACACATACAGTATGGCTGAATGGGGAGGTAAAGCAATGCAAAGCAAGAAGCTTGAATCGTTTATCAGAATTGGCACATCCTGTTGATAGGATGCAAAAATGATAACTCTCTTTTAGCTTTGATTTGGGCTCCACCAACCACTGAGAAAAATATATTTACCATTAGCTGTTAAGCGTTCAACTAATATATATGTAAAAAAATGTTTGTAAAGCCTTAAATAATACACCAGTTCATTTTAAGTTTCCCTCAGCTCTACTTAGCTTTTTAGCCTCTTATAGCTAATGTTTCACAGCCAATGGATTATTCTAAACAATGTTATATAGACAGCGGTTCTAACCTGTTGTAATTGAAACATCCAGTTCCGATAATCCTCGTAACAGGAGCAAGAGACCTGCAGGGGCTCCACCAGCTCTCCTAAAACGAAATATGTATTACATTAAATACCTGTATTACTCATCTGATTTACAGAAAATGTATTTACAACAAAAAATTAAATATATGTCCCGTGTTCGCTCTCTGTATACCTATCAGCTCAAACTCAAGCCGCCCAGGCAGAGCTGACCTCTCCACCGCTCTGATGCTCTGTCGGGGCAACCGGCCCTGTTGGAGATGACAGAAGAAAAGGAAATACTTGACATTTTTGAAAAATGTATCATGCTTTACCACAATAACCTCATATTTGCTACTGACTGAAATGCATCAAGTGTTGTAGGACATGCCTAATGTCATGTGTCTACAGACCAAGTTAAAGATGACTGGGACAGGCAGTTATGCCACAGCGGTTGAGGGGGTATTATTATGGATTTTTCCCCTAGAGTCATTTTACACTACCTCATATCTTATATTCAGACGCTTGTTGTCGACTGACAGTAGCAGCACGTCTTGAGGGAAGAGAACCATCAATCTTTCTTGGAGACCCTGGAAGAAAAAAAAAACGTGTCAATGTCTCAAGAGATACTATATTGTGATACTTTAAATAATGTTCTCTTTAATTTACAGTAGTATAGTCAAATGTTACTAAGTCAAAGGGGGTACGAAGAAGGCTAATATTTGGCCTCATTGGGCTTTGATATTCCAGTTTAGCAAATTTAGCATTACACTTTTACATTATTTATAGAAAAGAAGGTGAATAAAAATACAGTTTATTAAACCTGAGTTAGCCTTTAACATAAATAATTTTCATGTTGATTGAAGATAACATGATATCATCATTGAGAGCAGCTTCTACTGTATATGCCACATTTTGTGCTAGTCATATTTACAATAAAACCACCACTTGGTTAAAAGTGACACCTTTTTAACCACTTTAGAAAACATATTAAGATAAAATCTCTGTGCAACAGATGGAAACTAGGCTTGAAGGAAATGTGGTATTGAGTTTCAGATACTAATAAGTATTCTTGTAATAGTGGTTCCTCTGGTTATTGGTGGTAAGTATTGAAGGCCAGAGAATACGTGAGTAAAACCAATCTAAACACTTGTGTGTATACTCTCTTTGAATGTTATCAGCCCATTGAGTAGTCGTTATCAATTGTTATTCTTAACATTTAACATTTTCAGACAGGGCAAACTGCACCTTCCCCCACCATGTGAAACAGTCGCAATTGTAGACACGTGGTTAATGTTGTGAATTAAACAAGATACTTGTTTAGATTTTGGAATAGTTTCAGGTCAAATTAGTGGGTTTGTTGGGTAACTTTAGTAAGGTCATATCAATTAAGTCTTTAACGTGCGTTATCTGAGTAAAAATAAGGCAACATTAGGTTTTAATTTCAAATTAGTTTGACCCATTTATCTACCCAACTTCCTCCCTGTGCTGACTTTGTTGCTCTTGATCTGTTTTATTCTAGTCATAATAACTACTGCCACTAGAGGCTGCTGGTAATGCATTTTGAACCTCTCTGCATGATCAAGCTTACCAATCGATGAAAACAAGCACCTGAGCCAACTAAGAAGTAGAAAAGAGCCATACAACCTTAAATCTACGCTCCAGATGAAACCTGATAATGGCAATTTAATAGGCCAATAACACTTCAAGTGGATTGTGTTTGATTCTGTCTCTCTCATTGTTCAACCTGTGCTCATTTACAGATTCTAAACACCGTTTAAAGAGTTGTTCTCACCTGTCTCTGTGAGTTGATGATGTGAACGATAGATATGTATCCCAGCTGACCCATGTGCTGTATGGACGAGCCCTCCCACTGCCATATGGGGGCTTGCAGTAAGTACTTTTTCAGTTCTTCTCTTTTCCAGTGCTCATCACAGGGTAGCTGGGGAAGAATTAGACATATGATCAATGTATTGATTTCAAATTAGCAATGCAGCTTATTCATGTGGAGTGGTTACCAGATGTACAGTAGTTAGTCTATACCAGATAGGAGAGAGCGCAGTGGGAGGGACTCATGGGTTGTGCCATTGACTTGCGTCTCCTGTCTTCTATGTGTTGCATCCACTTCTGTTGCTCTGCAGCACTGGCGCATATGAAGACCTTGGAGTCCACCATTGGACCTGGATGAGAGAGGGAACCACACACTCAGTACTTTACATGGTGTTTGAGTCTCTTGGGTGAAGTTGGTCATTTCTGCTGACTCACCACTGATCTCAAACATGTGAGGTGAATGTGACGCATCATGGTCCAGAGAGACGGCCTCCAAGGAGAGTCCAGAAAGGGGAAGGATGCCCTGCGAGATAAGAGAACACGTAAGAACAGATCATGTCTGTCATTGTGCTACAGCTTCCTCCGGAGGGATTGTTATGAGACGCAAGTGAGAGAACTTGTTTTTCCTCTCTGTTGATGATGGGTACAAAATTGTTTTGCCAGGCTAATCTTTTCAAGTTACTTTAACTACATCTGGGAAGAAAGGTGAAAAACTGTGATTTTTGTTCAAAGAAATGTGTTCTTGTTTTCGAAATAGGTATTAGAACAACAAACACATTTATACAAATTATATTAAAGTCCCTGACTAAAAGAAATCACATTTTTCACAGATCTTAATAAATGTTCACAAAACACAGAAGAAAAATCGATTTGGATCAGACTTAGGAAATAGATAGATGTTTAATCACTCTTGCTTCTTAGGACTACTATATCTGATTTGCTATTCACAAGCCCAGCGGTACATAGCTCCTGCGTGTCTGCCCCTTTTCCCTTACATTTTAGTTGTTGTTGTCTGTAATGTTTTCCACAACTCCTGAGATCAATATGTAGCTCTTTATTTGCTAAATGCTCATCTGTGGTCATTAGCTTGTTGCTATCATTTTTCTGTCTGCAATTGGTGCTGGGCAGATAGACACATGGTTTATCAATTTTTTTTTTACTGTTGCTGCTGATGATAGATCTGTTGATATATATATAATCAACGAAAATATCTTACATTGCACGGAGAAATGTGGTCTGTTGTTAATCAAAAATATGTTTAGTGTAGCTTTAATGTATGGTTGAACAATAGCCACTACCCGACATTTCATTTTTAGTTTCATTTTAAAGGGAAATGCACAAAGAGTACCTCATAGATGAAGTCTTGTCGAGAGTGATCCAGGGAGAGGATCAGTAGGTGGAAAGAGAACAGCACCAGGAAGTGTTCACTGGTTTCCTTTGGGGGG